CTGTAGTGATAGGCTCGCTCAGACGCGGAAATGTGAGCAGAAGAAAGGCAGCTCATCAATAGCCCACTCACATAACAGGGGCTCTGTTCAGGGTAGGAGGCCGGGGCTGTATGTCTCCGTAGGGCGGGACAAACATATACTCTCACAATCTGACACTGATGGTCTTACACATACACACGCTACAAACATGAGCACAGACACACACACATCATATTTAGTCTTTGTTCCTCTGTGGAATTAGCTTCTGTTCCGGCCTCTGCTGGAAACGGAATGAGAAGTTGAGGATTGAATACTGATCACTCGGTGATTCAGCCCTTAGCCGGAGTCACAGGGGGAAACATTTACGCTAAATTCCCTGCACTAAATTCACAGCTGTCAAGCGTTTTCTGGAAATTGGAGAGTGACAGCAAGAGCTGAATGCGTTCTTTGTGTTGGACACGGATACCGCGGACATAGAAATAGCTACAGTAAGTAGAATTATCTACCCCGATAAATAAAATGGAGGGGAGATTCTCACATTCGTTCTGTCAAGGGCAGAGTGGGCTGGAATTTTGTAAGATCTGGAGCTCCGAGAAGCACACTCATAAATATCTTCTGTAAATGGGGAGCCTGGTCTAGTCCACAGGTACAGTACCATACTGGAGGAACCTTATTTGATGCTGAAGATCCATACAGGGCAGCCTTGCTTGACCTTGTAGACCTACATAAATGGCTTTGGTAACTCTGTAGCCCAAATGGGTAAGGTATTTATCACCTTATAGAGTAAATCTTGTTTCAGAATTTCTATGCTACATTTATTATTGTGATAATATCGAACACTTGAGTCATAAGAAAATCAAGAAGCCTCGCAGAGGAAAATAAACAGGTACAGCATGTTTGTCTCTGGCTAAGTGGTTTACATTTGTACCTTGTGATCGAGGATGCCTTTGCTGTGCAAGAGAGCACACCTGCTTTGTATGTTAAGGCTCAGGTGTCTTACTGAATCAGATTCATGGTGCATGGATTACAGATGTATTAATTTCACAGCTATTCAGAACAGGAGCATCAATATTCCTGCAATATTAAAATATTAATAAAGAGTATGATAAATTAGTCATTTATTTCTTAACTATTATGTACAACAATGTTGACTTGCCTTCTTGTGGAAATAAGTAGAATATTAATTTGCTACATGCAACTTTGAAAACAGGAGGATGTTACACTTTGGGTTTGGATCACAGCCTTTAGCAACACATGTGGTAAAGAAGTCATGAGCGGCCAGCTTAAATCGCCAGAATGCAGGAGCCATTTACATTCGAAAGCTAGATGTTTTTCTGTCTATTCTCAGAGATGTTTCATTATTCTGCTGTCTCGGGTGTCATGAAATACACATGGTTTTGGAGCTGGTCGCAGTCTCCTGCACATGACTTTGTACGATTGTTTGGATTGCTGGTTCTCCCAGGTGGCCTGATGACTGCGTGTGATTGGCTGGGCAGCCAAGCCATCCAGGTGGCTAATTGACAGGAATTGGCTTCATTATGATGCTGATATGCCTAGGCGACTGAGGACATCACATGGCTAGTTGGGTGGTGTCTCAATTGGCCTTTGTACTGCTGTCCACTCTGAGGAGTGGCAGGCCATCTGTCTTTTTCTTCCTCCCACAAGTGACCAGGTCCCTTGAGAAACCAAGTCTGCAAATTCGAACTTTCTCTATACAACAGAGAAACAAATGAGATGTTTCTGGTGGTTGATTTGGAGGGAAGAGGCATTCTGTCACTATTGTTGTTTTTGCTTAGTGCTTGTTTGCTTTCTATCTAATCTTTTTTCACAGAGGAGCTAGGACCTATTTGTCCCTGAGATGAGATTTCCAAATATGTGCCACGCATAATGTAATTCTGCTCGAGGTCTAGATACTGCAGATTGAAGCCTGTGAACCGAACTCATTCAAGCATTTTCTTTTTGCCTTTGGTTCCTGCTTTTCGCTTTGTAGAGCTTCATTTTGAGTTGAAGACTCTTCATACATTTCTCGCGGAAGCGATGGAGGAAACAATTCCGGAGTTTCGGAGCGTGCTCATTATTGGGAATGTCATTTGATCGCTTGGAATGGGCCCAGGCTGATTAATGCTGCTCGCAGCAACTGTTGACGCCGTCATCTGTTTTATCTACCTCGCTGGCACGTGCCAGATAACCACACATTGCGGAGGTAATGTTGGTTGGCGATGACTGTGTAAATGAGATGCTCCTCATTAAACGAGGTGCTATAAGTGATGAAGGAGGCGAATCTGTGTTCACGGTGCCACATTAGCTCGTGCCAACTCTAAAAGCATCAGATGTAAGTCAGACGCATTTCGGTCTCTGTCAGATGTAAGTCAGACGCATTTCGGTCTCTGTTGAGGTTTCAAGGTTAGCACTGACTGTCGCACGTAGCCTGGGTGAATTTTATCTGGATGGATCTGTATAGGCCACTGCGCTATACCTCCAGACTGGACTCAATAAACGAGCTCAAAGAAGGTTCCAGTTAATTCTGTGATTTGTTTTGAAACGTTGTGTGTTGGATAAGAACGGATAAGCGAACAGTTGTTGTCGGAGAAAAGAGGAAGGAGCACCTGTTTTGGTAGGCTACAGCCAGCTGAGACAAACAATGTACTCCTATTGCATCATCTGACCACATGGGGGGGTCACTCTATCAGGGGGGCAGCAGGAGGCACTTTCTGCCTTTTTCGCCCTTGCTGTGCTCTTGTTTCCCTGGGATGACAGCAGCATTGGCACAGTTGTCCCTCCTTGTGCGTCCTCCATGGGTCTGCGCCGCTGCTTGCGGCCTGGCCCCCGGCACCCCCCGATTCCATCTCCCGCTTCACGCCTCCAGGGGTGCGGTGGAGAGGAAGTGTGCAGAGGGGGGAGTGTGAGAGAGATAGAGAGAGATTTAAAATTTTCTTTTCCATTAACTCCAGAAGTACAAAATCTACACTGCCGTATTCATAGCGCAGGGGCCATAAAGATAACTTCTTCTTCTAATGAACTGTGAAAGAATAGTGCTGATCTCAAATGGAGCCCTTGCAGGGGCGTAGCAGACAATGGGGACTCGAGAGATTTGGAGGATGGGGAACAGCATGCCCAAGGCTTCCGGGGAAATGCTGCCCCCCCAATCTACTTTATACAGAACCACCACAGCTAAATTAGAATAAATGCGCTTCTAATCACACTTACATCGAACTACAAACTAGCCATAAATGACAACTTTTGACCCATCGATTCTTAGGGTGACAAAGCTGTTTCGTTTATATGTCTGACATACCTACATACTCGTGACATGTTGCTCAGATGGAATAGAAGTGAATCACATAAAATGTAGCAAACGATTATATAGAACATTAATACATTTACTTTTGTAATAGACGATTTTCACAATAAGCATTTTCTTTAATATAAATTCACTTACTATTTTTACTAGTTAGCTAGCTGATACTTGTTTTCTTTGTTTAACTATTATAAGTTATCCATTGCATATACTTGCATTTAAATAGATAAGTTTCAGGCAGTTTGTTTGTTTACTGTGATTTTTGTCTGCTTATTAAACAGAAAATGCACTGCCTTCAAGAAAATAGATGATTTGTTAATTCATATCACCCAACATAATTTGCATTGATATTGTTTGAATTTGTTTGGAATTTTTATAGTAACACCCTAAATTGATTGAAAATGAATCAAATATCAGAAGAACTTTTATCATTTGTGTTTTAAATATATTTGTATTAACAAAAAAATAGTGTTTTATTCTTTTTATAAGAAGCTTGGTAACATCTTTTTAGGAATCTGGCTAATTTTTAAGTTCCACCAATGGTCACATATAAAAAACAAAGTTATCAATATTTAAGGATTCACTGACATAAAATAATAAAGCTGTTTAAGTATTTATGCTGTATCTCAGAATGCACTAGTATATTGGTGGTTCAAGTTATTCGGTCAAAATCTAAATATTTATTGAGAGAGAAGCTCAGCAAAATAAATTAATGCACTTTTTGAATATCATGTGGTCAGAGAAGGACAAAGAACTAATTAACGAGTCAGATGGAGTTCAGTGGCACTAGATCCCTCTGACATTATTAGGTAAAATTTCAAAACTGTCAATGGTTTGAACCCTTTTTGCATGTTTAGTACACTTAAAGCAATATATATATAAAGTGTTGGTGGGTGACTGAGGAAAGATTTCCGTTCTCTAATGTGCTGTGCATCCATCCATCTTTAGACTGCCTCTCTGCTTCCGCTGGTGTTCCCTAATGTATTGGTAATGTAAGTACATTACATGACATTGTTGACAACCAAAAAAAAAATCAATTTAAATCTTTAATCAAGTACATGTTTGATGAATTACTATTGATAGGGGGTTATTAATAAGGTATTTTACTGTATATATAATAGGCTAATATTTTTTCTCTTCATTTTGCTTTCACACTCCTGTCCTTCTTCATGCAGGCTGGTTCTCCCTCTCCAGGGACTTTGGCTGTGCACATAACTATGTTTGTCTTGGTACTGAACAGCTTGGCCAATACGACTAATCAAATAACGTCTATTTCTCAGGAGTTTGCTAATGAGGGTAACAGCATAAATTCATAATTTTGGGTTTAATCATAGAACAAAATATGAACTAAGCAAATCATCTAAATTATGACTGAATAGAACAGTTCTGGGGCCAGATATACCTGCCATGGGTTTACAGCCATGGGTGATCTGCTTATATAGAGAAGTGTGCGTTACATTTGCACTTTACTCTGGCTGCTCAAATAAAGTGAGGTTGTCTGAAGGCACATTAAGCTGTTAAAGCTTGTTGAGTGTAGGCTTCATTCAGTTCCTTTAAACATCTCCCCACCTTTCAGTTCCTCTGGGCTCTCCTTGAAATGTAAGTCTCGCCAGGAGATCTGATCATGTTTTATGGGTCCTTATAAGTAAACCAAGGGGGAAAAAATGAGTGTGTCTATGAAAACATTAGTAACATGAAGTTGTTTTCTCCTGTTTTGCTTCAGTCTGCAGCGACCGAGAGCTGAGGAGTCTGGCCTCCAGACTGAAGGATTGGTTCGGCGTCCTTCACCTGGACGCTAACAGAGACCTGAAGAGTACAGTCACCTCGGATGCCGGACAAGGCCGTAAGTTTCCGTGAATCACTGTGGCCCTACACTACGTCATAAGCGCAACTCACACTTTTGTCAAAATTGGCATAGAAGTAAGGCAAATAGCACATAGTGCAGCTGTGCTGAGATTCCAATGAATGCCCAAGTGTGAGCAGTACTGGAGCAGGAGCTACACAGCAATTTCTAACAAAGCAAGAACATAATAAGACTATCAAGGAACAGAAGAACACAGGGAACGTAAAGTAGCATCGGCCTAGTAGAGAATTCACTTCACTGATGTCAAATTCACTGCAGTGCCTTATGTATTTGATCAACTGCATATGTGTCTAAACGTATATTATCCATAATACCTCTTGCTCGTCTGCTATCCATCCATTGTCCATTGTTCTGATGAATCAAAACTTTGAAAAACATCTCTTTAGCAGAGTGCCGAAAGTCTTGTCCACTTGTGTTTATTTCATGGCACTTTTCATCTAAACCTCCAGCCCAGCCCAAGGTGAACAAGCAGGAAGATCACTGTTGAAATGCTTTACACTGTGAGATTCTATACGTGCAGATCAACATAACGATTCTCTGCCTTCACTTGTCCATGCCCTCACATCTTTACCTTGACCCAGTGCTACTCAGCATGGACTGATGGTTCTCTTCAGACAATTATTTGTCGGTATAGTATATACCTTGTTTTGATTATGCAAACTGTTTGTTTACCTCCTATTCCACAAACTGATGTGAAGTATGAAGCTGTAAGTAATACTGGAGGAAGACTGGCAGTCCAAGAACAGCCTTGTCATTTTTGTACACGGTATATGAAGCCAGGAACCCAAGCCAGACTTTGCTAGAGCCTAAGCTTCAGTGTTACTGGGTGCAATATGGTAAATTACTCAGTGTAATCTGCCAGCGCTGTGAACTCCAGCACAAGTTTCATGAAGGTGTCACTGTGAGCCCGGAAGTCTGAAGACACTGAGATAAACTGAAAGCCCAAGTTTTCCTTTGTGTTCCACTCTGGAATGACACAGCAGTGGATTAGCAGGTGTACTAGTGTCCCTTCTGTGTCACGATGGCAGCCTCAGTTGTGTTGTGTTGCAATACAAAGTAAAACTGTTTCAGACACTGGGGTGTAACTGAAGTGGTCAGTGAATCGATTCAACATGGGATTGTAAAATAAGTGTTTTTTCCTTCTGCTTGTCTACTAACCACTTATCCTGCTCAGGCTAGCAGGAGCTGGAAGCCTGTCCCAGGCAGCACAGGCCACAAGGATGGGGTCCACCACAGGGGACATGTACACACACACACACACACACACACACACACATGCACAGAGAGAGGTTTGTAATTATATCTTTGTGGGGACTCTGCATTCATTTCTATGGGCAAAACTCTACTCCCCACATAACAACCTAACCCTAACCCTAACCTTACCCAGCCCTAACCTTAACCATAAGTAACCAAACAAAATACGAGACTTTTTGGCATTTTTTGTCTTTTGATTGCATTCAGAGATCTTTGTGAAAAATGGTCCCCGCAACGTCAAAATCACAGGACTTTATTACATTGTGGGGAACATTTGGTCCCCACAATGTAATATAAACAAAATCCACACACACACACACACACAATCATTGGTTTATCTTTTGGTCAGACTCTATGAATAGTACCATGAAGATGCAATGGGTGGGACTGTCATGCACCGGTTTGATCCAATATAATTTGTAACCAGGTTTAAACCTCTTTCATTAGCAAGGTGTTTTCACCCACAGAAATTCTACTAATTGGATGTTTTTCTGTTTTTTACACTATTCTTTGTAAAGGTCTAAGGTTTACAAAGGTTTTTTAAAATGTAAGAAAACTCAGAAGACAGAGAAAAAAAATTGAAAACACTGATAGAACAGCCCTGTGCCACACAAGAGCAGACAAAGGGCCGCAGAATCGCCAGCCGGGCCCTAGACACTGTGCTGTGTGAAAATCCCAGAAATGCTGGAACCACCACATCTGGCACCAACAATCACACCACATTCATGCACCATGCATCTTAGCCATGCTAATGCATCTTAGCCATGCTAATGCATCTTAGCCATGCTAATGCTTAGCCACACAGAACGTCTTGACCCGGTTTGCATGCTGTATACTCGCTACATCATTTGCTGTTTGTAGGAGCAGGCTGTTTGTCTTAATGAGCAGGTGTGCCTGATAAAAACTGTGTACAGGAAAGCTGAAGCGTGAGAGATGTCCAGCGTTAAATTGTACTACTTAAAAAAAAAAAAAAAAAAAAACTTCAATTGTGCCAATTAATTGAAGTATGCCGGTTCAGCATTTTCAATTTTGTTTGTAGCGTTTGTTTTGAGCTACTTCAAAAGTATTTTGAAAATGGAAACCTGAACTGAAATTGCATTTTTTTTTTCTACAAGAGTACCTTCTATCAATGTCATATACCTGGCAACAAACACAAAGTTATGGAAAATCAATACAAATGCAAATAAGAGGGTATGAGTTATATGAACCAGGACAAGTGGGCTCCTGAGGCTAACTGCCATCTGTCAGGCAGATACTTTGAGTGCTATGCCGTACTGCTAAGTCGACTTTAGCTATTAGCCCGGTAGATGTTACTGCCAGGCAGCATTTATGGCAGGCAGGTGTTATACCAGCTTCTATAAGCTACACAGGTGCTTTGCTAGGCAGGTGGTATGTCCTGCTTATCAACCTACATTTCACAGGTAAAGATACGCATCTGTGCACCAAATGGTCCCATACCGTGTTTTACATGTTCATTTCCACATACAAGAGAGCGCGCAGCTTCTTCACTCTGCGTGACGCGCTCAATTTTGAGAGAACGCTCGCGCATTTCAGTTACATGCGCCGTCTCAGTAAATTCAGCTTCCGCTTTCACCAGCCTAGCATGCAAGGTTTTGAGTGTTTGATAGTGTTCGCCCGTCTTCCCTGCCTGCCGGTGCCGTGAACATGCCGGGCCAGGCCGGGCCACCGCAGCGCCATTCAGTAATCAGGCAGTAAGCCTCCCGCTACACATCTGACACATCTGTACCAATGCGAACGTCTGGGTGGCAGATCAGCCTCAGGCGGCAGCAGTCGATGAGGGGGCTTTCTTCACAGGATCAGTGTTTGCTTACTATAAACCAGTGTTTCCCAATCCGGTCCTTGGGGACCCACAGACAGTCCATGTTTTTGCTCCCTCCCAGCTCCCAAGGATGCATAAATGTGGACTGTCTGGCACGGAGCTCGGCAGGAACAAAGACATGGACTGACTGTGGGTCCCCGAGGACCGGATCTGGAAACACTGCTCTAAACAGTCAGTTTTCTTAACTGACAGGAGCAGCTAATCTGTTTCATGTCCTTGTGTTTGTCAGAATCCACACTATGAGTGTGATGATGCCTTGCAGATTTTTTTATCAAATTGTAGTCCAGCTCAGTAAGATAAATTTGTCAAAATTGTAGTAATTGTATCATCAGAGACAGACAAGTGTTTTTTTTAACCATCCAGCAGTGATGGATATTCAGATAGCTCTGTATGTATCCAGGATTGTTCAGTTGGCTTAATGCGTTCCTTAAGATCGTTTTGCATCTTGTACACTTTTTTGTCGAAATGTTTTGATTTGTTGAAGTTAACACTAACTATGAATAAACCCATAAAAATGCGGGTTGCTTTTCCTGTCTCCGTGATAACAGTCTTTGATAGGGGTCTGCTAATGAATATATGCACAGCAGCGAGCACTGAAATCAGGCAGGTGCCTGTTCATCTTAGTAATTACCAAGCAGGAAATCCATTGTGCCACAGACAAAACCACTTAGCCGATTTTTTCTGTGCATCCTTTCCTCCGCCCAGGTTTTGACACCAGCATCCTGCCCATCTGTAAGGACTCCCTGGGCTGGATGTTCAACAAGCTGGACATGAACTACGACCTTCTGCTAGACCCCACAGAGCTGAGCGCCATCTATCTAGACAAGCAGGAGCTGTGCCTGAAGCCTCTCTTCAACTCCTGCGACTCCTTCAAGGACGGCAAGCTGTCCAACAACGAGTGGTGCTATTGCTTCCAGAAGCCAGACGGTAAAAAAAAACACAAGGGGCGTGTCCTCTAACATCTGAGAAAATGAGAGGCGGGCAAACAGAAGCCCAGGGGATTTTATATCATGGAGTGATTTCCATTTGTTAGTCATGCTCTTCCTCTGTGAAATGCTGGCCAGGATCCTTTTTTCCCTAAATAAGCTTTTCCAATTCTCTCAAATTATAAGTATAATTCTGTTTCTCTTTTTTTTAGAGGCTAATTTTAAATTATAATGAAACCAAGGAAAAGAAAATTCGAAAGCCAACATCAGTTCTCTTTCTGGAGACTAGCAGAGTGTCTCTAACCACTAAGCTAGTCTCTGGAGCGGACCCACTAACGAAGTTAGTTCTCAGAATAGCGTCAGATGGGACGGCTACAGCATGATGTATCCTGACATGATAAATTCACTGGTGACCCATTTTAACGAATTCATCGAGAGACTGAGGCTTTACACCAACACGTGGAAATGCCTACTTTAAAGATTCATCGACGTGATTAAAAAAATAACATCTCTGACATTTCTTTTACAACTTCCCATGAATACAATCATGCAGAAATTATGTTGATGTCATTTATTTTCTCACTGGTAGCTATACAGGTTGTTGAGTATAGAGACTGATGTTTTTTTTGAGCTTGTGTGTCCCTTATGGGTACAGCTATCAATGTGCCGGATTTTGACGGCCCTAGAATAGCCGCGGTTATAAAACAGTATTGGTTTACTGACTACTTCTTTCTGACAAGCCAGTCTGTTTTACAATATACACTTTATATTAGATTTATACAGCTCTCGTGCACTAGGCAGCATTTCAGCTAAAGTCACAAAAGGCTTGACAGAGGAACCAAGGGGGGCTTTGATCACTTTATTTGTTCTTTACTGTAAGAACAGACCTATAAAGGACAGTTTCCTCTGGGAGTGTGTGAGAGGAAGTGGCTTGTGATCTGGTGCCATGTTCTCTGTTTCAGGACTTCCCTGTCAAAATGAGATGAACAGGATCCAGTCCCAGGGCAGGAGGAAGTCTCTTATAGGTGAGTGAACGTACTGTAGGGGAAGGTGCCGTCTGTGTGACGGTGATCTCATCGAGGTATGAGGTTCACCCCTTCATCTCTGTTTGGGGGTCTCTCCTGCCCAGAGGAAGACATTACCGACACGGAAAGGAATTTGTGGACATCATAAGGGATGACAGATACTTGCATTTAGCAGAACTGTACACAATTTAGTGAATCCCCCCCACCCCCCCACCTGGAAGGAAGAACGTTCTGAAGCTTGCTGGCAATTCGTCTCCCCACTAGGGGCTAGAGATCAGATGGAGAAATGGAGAAACCTGTTAGGGAGGATGTGTCTGGTGGCCAGAGGCTGTTGGGGTGTGAGTTTCACTGCAGATTAAAGTCTGGTTATTACTGAATGATGGGAGTCACGAGTAGCCTATGTCATTAAGCCAATAGCCATTACGTACCAGCTGGGGAGGCTGGGATGCTGGGGTGTGACGCTCATGTCCCTGGGCTGGTGATTTCGGTTTTTGCAGACGTGCAGTGATGTATACACACTACTGGGTCTTCTCTAATTTTTTTCTAGATAAATCACCTAGCAATCTTAATTTCTTTTGTGAGAAAATAGAGGCTGTTCAACATTTATTCCTGTGGGAATAAATTTGTAGGCCTACTGCAGAAGAAAACTGCACATTACACTATAATTGCTTTTTTTAAATCCTATTCTTACTAAGAAAAAAATATTTTATTTTGTCCAAATATTGAGTTGAAAAAAAGACTAAGGTAATGAAATTTTAATTATGTGGACAGTGTCTGATTATGTTTGAAATGGCACAAGGCTTCAACGTCCCTTGGTATGTTGGCTTTCAATAATGTGTTTGAAAAATATGTTCTCCTAAACTGCTTCACTAATCAATCGTTCTTCATACAGTAAGTGGTGCGTCACTGGTAACTGCCTTTCATACAGCCCAATAAGAAACTGGACTCCTGCTGCAAGGGTTATAAAAGGTGTCATCGTGTGGGAATTTTAATTACTAGACAAAATGAAAGACAAGGGTGACATATATACATAATAAAAAAAAAAGATGAAAATGAGAAAGGAAATGGTTTAAATATTTATTTTTGGTTATAAAAATAATTTATGTTTCCTGTTGTTTTTAAAGGGGGTTTCCATAAGCTAGCCTCAAAAGCTTTAATATATGGTCCACTGCCCTGTGTAATGGACTCTCAGAGAAGGGAACCTGATGATGGGATTCATACAGGTTTGACTTTTTCCTGTCCTCTTATTATTCAAAGATGCAAACACTTGCAGAGACGCTTTGAAGCATTTGCCCAAGTTGCCTTGCTTTATGCTGCAGTTTCAAAATTAAATTCTGCCATTCGGTGATGCATTAATATTTAGCTCAGCTTTGAATTAACCCAGAGGGCCAACAGTCTGCCTGGACTTACAGCTGAAGGTTCACATTGGGCTACAGCTGTCCGTTGTATGGAAAACGCAGGGGCGTCGCCCCAAGCCGATTTCACATTAACCCAATCCGACCAGGGCAAGACTTTGATTGAATGTTTTATTCTGCAGTGGGTTCAGAAGTTAATAGGAAGTTACGTTTTCTGTTAATGTGGGATCTAATTTGCAGTCAGTTTATGAAGGGCAAGGTTTGTTTGATTTAGGCTCTCTTTCGATCATCTGCAAACGTGCAACACCCATGGTCTGTGCCTGTTATTTGCATAGCAGCTGATCTCTCTCTGTCTTCATGCATAGACATATGGATGTCTGTGGGCCTCCGAGCATTAAATGTAAAACTACATCGGCTGGGTTTGTTGCTATTCATTGATCACATGCACCCGCAGATGTATTGACAGTCTTCACTCTTTCCACAGGTTTTGATTCTTCCTGAGCACTTACCTACTTGACTGAACTAATGATTTCTGTGGTTAAACTAATTTTACAGTCCTCTCTCAGCACCGGTGTTCTAAGTTGGTAAAAAAAAAAGACTTTGAAAACTGGCACACATGGTTCCTGGTCTGTGCCTATGAGTGAATCTGCCTCTTTCCTTCTGCACAGGGATGCTGTACATCTCTCTATATATCATATATGTTTTCACATACGTAGAAAGAGTTAATCTCCGTCCACCTTTCTGCACAGGTGCATTCATCCCCAGATGCAACGAGGAGGGATACTTCAAGCCCACACAGTGCCATGGCACCACTGGCCAGTGCTGGTGTGTTGACAAGTACGGCAACGAGATTGCCGGATCCAGGAAGCAGGGCAACCCTAGCTGTGGTAAGGAGGAGCAGGGCTGTATAAACCCTGATTACTTTCGGTGTGCACATAAACTTATGTAAGCAACTAACCTATTACTCCATCTTATAGCTGTTATTGCTGCCTTTGGTGTGCTTCCCCGAGTTCGTGCCCGTTGAGAGTTATATCTGATGTCATACCATGGCCCGGCAATGCTCAGGCCTTGTAAATATTTTAAATAGAGCTGCCTTTGATGCTGTAGTAGTTTGAGGATGATTACAGACAGGTAGCTGATTCTGGCAGATGCTGTTTCTTCACACGGAAGACAGTCTTTCTAAGACCAAAATGTTTATCTTGCACCTCGGACATTTTTCACTGTTTCTCGAAGAAATAAATACATTTTCCTGCCTGCCGTCATCTCGTTTGCACATCCATACTGAAAGCTGCTTGTGGACATGGTTACTAGTCTCACTGATCATGCTTGGACATACAGTATGTACGGATGATGTTTTCCCGTATTCCGCGCAGAGGAAGACCAAGAGAGCTCGGGGGACTTTGGCAGTGGTGGGGCTGTGGTTCTGCTGGATGACCAGGAGGACGAGCAGCCCCTAGCACTGGGGGGCCACGCCCGGTCCCGGGGGGCCATCGACGATGACGAGGATGAGGAAGATGACAAAGACGACGAGATGGGTTACGTGTGGTAGCTCTCACAGGATGTCCGCCCTCCTCCAGTTAATCGCACAGACCTGAAGCCATTCCACTCCTGCCCCCCCCCCCCTTTATTTTACCCCGTCTCCGTCGTTCCCTTTCCAAGCCCACCTCTCGACTTTCTGAGAACATGAATTACAACAGAGACTTCGCCATTATTTTAGAGTACTGCAACAAGTCATCCCCCTAACCCTACTGCCCGCCCCTCTCATCCAGAAATTCCGCTGCTATTCCAAAAAATCCCACCCCCCAAACCCCCCCCTCCCGTCCCACCCCCGCCCTTTCACCCCCACCACCATTTCTCTTTTTAGCTTCTTCTCTAATTGTGTGCACAGGCGCTAGGTGTAAATACACAGGCAAAGGTCGGCAGGGTTACGTGTCATGTCATGTACTTTACGTGTAGCGCTGTCCGTGGGCCGAGCCGGGCTGGGTGTGGCCAGTACAGTTAGCATACTCACTAAGCCGTAGGGGGCACTGGAGTCCGCTTTGCTCCCCAGAGAAGCCCTCTGTTTGTAACCATGGCAAATTTACCGTCATAAAGTGTGTGTTGCGGTCTATGGTATACTGTTATTATTTGTTCTTTGCTCTGTGTCACCTCCTATAAGTGAATGAAATGAATTCCGGGCTTTGTAATGTAAATCATGTAGGAAGTTCTTAAAATTAAAACTGTATTGTACCCTATCCACCCCAAAAAAGGGTTTTTATACAAAGTTATATTGATTGGACTGATTGTACGTAACTTTACGTGTCTTTACTGTGCTTCTACGGGTTCTTTATTCGAAGTGTATGTCTGCAGACTCTGGGCTCTGCTTAAAGGAGAGCGATAGTTTCAGCTCCCTGTTTCTGGCGTGTTATTTTACCACACAACCACACCCCTGTTCGGCAGCTGATAATCTCCTTGCCTCTTTCAAATGTGATGTTTTCTGTTTGCAAGCCCAAACCCGCTGTCCAGTGGAGAGTAAGATATAGGCGTGTTTTTTTTTTGTTCCCCTCGACCCACCACAGGTTCCCCAACATCATGTGCCGCATAGCAAATTTCCACTAAACACTCAGAAGAAAAAAGTGATGACTGTATAGCATTTTGGACTGAAGAAAGCCTTGTCACCAATAGACCAGTAGACCTGTGTTCTTGTGTTTCTGTTGAAATGTCTTTCTCTAACCACATATTTTCAAGGCTGGTGAACCCAGATTAACCCTGAATGAGTTTTTCACTCAGTATGTGATTTCAGCGAATCTGAGAGGAACCTGAATGCCAGCTGATCTGTAATACCTTTTGTTCATGCTCATTCAGAGCTTATCTGATCTGAAAAGCATGCTTTGTCCTTTTTTGCGTCTCCTCTGGATTAACTTACATGGGGCAACTTTACTTCATTCCTGTAATATTAGTAATTGGCTTTTGCAGCCTATTTACCAAACAATATATTTGTTTCCATGAAATCTTTACAATGTGCTTTAAATTAATTGCCCCGTAATGTTTGCATATATTTTTACAGTGAGCAGCATGTTTCTATGCATTACTAGATTATTGCTCACTCTCTGATGCATCAGACGGTTGGTATTTTAGGGTTACGGCGTGGATGTGAAGTGGTACAGGAAGAGAACATGTAGAAATATAGGAGGTCCCATTTAGGAAGAAGCTGTATATGGCATTACATCGGGAAAAATACACTCGCATGCATAAATTAGCGTGATCATTTGGGATGTTATAAATCGTCGATTCTATTCTATTCAATTTTTTTGTATATCACGGTTGCCCCAGAGCGCCTAACATCACAAGCAGCAGCAAGATTGCAAGCTGACTTGATAACAATTAAACTCAGTACCAGCATTTACTGAAAGTCATTATGTTTGTAAATTATTGAAATTTGATCCAAAAGCAACATTGTGTAAAGTGTTTGCGGGGAAAGCAGATGATAAGAGGTCTTGATAAGAGCATGAACATGATAGAATTACTAAAAGACATTTAGAGGTACTTGTTATTATTATTATTATTATAATAATTATTATTATTATTATTATTATTATTATTATTATATGATGTAACTGCAAACCTGATATGCATAGCTGGATGGGTTTTATGGCAGGATTGTGAAGTTATCAGACACTTTATAAGTTTCACACAACATACAAATCATCGATAGTAAAATCAGCAGTGAGTTAAGTCTCCCGAGGAAATGTGATACGTCACACATCCAGTGTACTTTATATTGTATAATGTCAAAATATATGTCTCGTGAAGAATATTATGTTAAACACATTATGGAAGAGCACGATCCTGAGTAGTGGAGCGTCAGCGTGTCTGTTTCCGTCGGCACAAGTTAAACATATCTAGCTTTATATTTGGCTTGTCTTGCTGTTGCAATTTAAAATATCTTGTTGCCATCAAAAACATGCAGACCTTATTATATTAATGTAAATAATTTAGATTGCTCCTTGAAATAACTGTTGCTTCGCAGGCAAAAGCATTATGCAAAAAGGTTTGGTATTTCTATATTTATTTCCTCTTAACTAATTTAACTTTAAAATAGTGAAATTATTTAATTTGATGGTGAAGGATATATTTCTTTACAGTTGATTCCTTGATTACTGTATTTGTTTTACTACATTTTATTTGGTCAGGAATCGCTTACGCATGTTGTTAGCCAGACTGCAGTGTGCCTCTGTGCATTTGCTAGTTACCCCATCGCCATGCAGATAACTAAAATGCCCTCTCACAATTCACTCTATTCACCAGCTTGTCATCTGGCCTACCTATCGAGGAGCACAGAGAGATCTAAGTGGAAAAGATGATTGACTAAAATATTTTCTCTCTGACACCACATGAAGCACATTTCATAAAGACATACAAAAAAATAACAAAATAGCATAAACATATATATATTTTATATACAAATAACTTCATGCACTTTGTGTTGAATGCAGTCAGGAAGGTCATTAGATGTTTTCTATTTCTACAAATTGTCTTCCCAATATCCAGTACATTTCTGGGCATGAGATTGAAAAACATTGCCTAAGCATTGTTTTTTTTTTTTTTTTTTTGACAAGTTTAGCAAGTTTATTGTTTGGAGACGTGAATATTTCACTAAAGTGAGTACAGAATTGTCCGCCTGTGCTTATTTTAAATTTGTTTTTTCCAAAGTAAATTTCATTACTGTGTAAAAATGCCAAGTAATTGCTGTCTGTAAATCCTGAATATCACTATGGTTTTCCTGCAGTTTTTTTTTTCTCTTAATGAAGTTGACTACAGCTGATCGATATTTCTTGCTTGATTTGTGCGGTAATTAAGGAGCGTTGCTCGGTTTAGCGATCGAGGTGGAACTCAAATGACACCCTGGTCAATTCGGCAGTAGACCTTGGCCTGGCCACAACATTTTTAATTAACGGGTTCAGCAAAGAAGCACCGCTGATAAGGAGCCTGAAGCTTTTGAAACATCTGGACACTCTGGTCCATGCGTGACCTTGGTGTAATTACAGAGAAGGCATTTCTCCCTGCTAAGTGATTCTTTTTTTTTTGAATATGGAGCAGTGTAAACATACAGCAAGTAGCGGGGTTGCTAAATTCATCCTGGTCTATAAAAGTTAGGATTTATTTCAACAAGTATAAGAAAAATCCAGATCATTAAAAGTTAGCTTTCTAAACCTAGAGGATGATTTGTGTTAATGATTTTCTGTCTGCTGGTGTCAGTTTTGTTTTCGCCACTTTGCTTCCTTCCGACAATCCAGCGGCAATGAATTAAATACCATGTTTCTGTGGCCATTTAATAACAGGATGACAGGCTCTGTAACTGAAAGCCTGTGTAGTTCAAATACTGGAACACAATTTAACCTTCTGTGACGTGATTGTACCTGGCGATGGCTGTATGTTTGAAACATGAACAATAACGTCTAGACTGTAGGCAGACTGGAGGGTAAAACCCAATTCCAATGAAATTCCTTTTCCAACTATCCAATTGAATGTGACTGCAAACCTGGAATCATTTTTGTGATTTGGTAAACGCAGGTGCTGTAAGATGTTTCTACTAGCTACACATGTTTAACTTGTTGTCACCCGCAGACAGAGGGAGAGTGACAGGACACAGAGGCATCACAGGTCACTCAGTGTACAGTACTACCAGAGAACAGGACACAATTAGGAGTTGTGTATAAGAACCAGGAGGCAACAGATGTTAGTTTAGGAATCAGTCAAGTAAGAATCATAAAGTTTGATTATGGACCGTGTGTCAGAATCAGGAAGTAGAGCCACCAAGAAAGTTGTTTTCCTTGCATGATGATGTCATGTCAACAACAGTCAGCTCTTGTATAAAAAATGAAGTAAAGAAAAATATAAATGACAATGAGCAAACAAAACACGTGTATGGAATGTACTATGTTATCCCTTGATTGTTATGCTTATTTTGTCATTTTCAGGCTGTCCATCAATTAAAGGTTTATTGTGGATAAAAAAAAATGTGCATAAATGCATCACTAGTCTGAATCCATCCTTGTCTCTCCTAGTGTCTCTCCTAATACTTTATGTTTGGATCTTTTTCACTTGTATCTCACAGTCTAACCTGCATTGTCCCTGTTCCATTTTTTTTTTCTCCCTATTTAATTTTTTTTTCCAGTCTAGTTTGAAGATCTCTAAACTTTACCCAACAACACTGATGGCCATATTTGCAGAAACTCTTCTTTGTTAATTCTATATTTTTTACTTTGTAAAGAAAAACAGAACCAATGTAATATAAAGTCATCTGAAGGCGCTGTGGCTGTGTGTTTGCATCAAAAGTGTATAAATTGATAGTTCTCTATGTAGTTAGACCTGTAGCTCTTTACATATAAAGTGTAGTGAGTTCTCAATGTTTTCCTTCTGGAGTTAAAATGGAATGTTGATGTTTTTGGCTGAATTTTCTGATTTTAATGTAACAGTTCAACTATGTTTGTCTTAATAAATTTGCGTCTGTCCTGTGTTGTGTTTATTTTGCTTTTTCATTTACCGTGGTATTTCAGAAAGAAGTTTATTTTAAAATAATCAGATCTGCTCCTATCCCATTCAGTTCATGGGACAGGTTTTTGAGAAAATTTCCGTGGTTCTTCGACCCAAAGATCAGTTTTGCTGTTGCACTCTTAACCCAGAAACTTAGAGTTTAAAATCTCTATGGATCTATATGAATAGGATTCAAATTTGCACAACACTGCAAGAAACATGGTCTGTGTAAAAGACATCAGCCAAGCAAGCAAATTAATAGCCAAGCTGCAGTGTTTT